ACATTCTACTGCCTATACTCACCTCTACTTCTCCCCCCCCCCCCCCACGTACATCGCCATCCACGTCCGCCACGGCGACTTCCGCGTGTACTGCAACCCGCCGCCGACCTCCGCGCTCGACCCCTCCTGCTTCGCCCCGCTCACCGCGCTCCGCACGCGCGTGTGGGAGATCCAAGCGGACCTCCTCGCGTCGCGCAACATCTCCGTGCCCGCCGCGCACGTGCTCATGACGTCGGACGAGCAGGACGCGGCGTGGTGGGCGCAGGTGCGCGCGATGGGCTGGCGGTGGATCGACCACGGCGCGGAGGAGACGGCGGCGAGGCTGGGGCGGTGGTACCCCGTGCTCGTGGATGCGGTCGTGCAGAGCGGGGGCGTGGGGTTTGTGGGCACGGATCGGAGCACGATGAGTTTGATGGCGCAGAGGCGGGTGGAGGATTGGCAGGGGGGCGTGACGAGGACGGTGAAGTGGGGGAGTGTGGATGCGGATGCGCATTAGGCAGGAGGGGGAGGGGAGGATCTAGGGGGGTTGCTGGGATTGGAATTTAAGGACTTTTTGGACTTGCTTGACGAACTGGACTCTAACTGAACTAACGTGTGGACCTTGGGACGTAGAGCATAATTCTGTCCTGTTCACGAAAGCGCTTGCGCATGTATATACGCCTTATAGTTATGAATAACGATGCTTGTATAGGAGGTCTAGACGGGCAGACTTGCTGCAATTTGGTGCAAAGCGCCTGCACAACTTGATCCAGGTACGGAGCAAGCCGAGAGCCACATACTTGTGGCAGACCCCGATCCTTGAATGTCTCCTTATGCAGTACGTCTCGAGCTCGTCGACGCCGGTCGCAGCCAACGGCAGCTTCTCTGGTACGTACGGTGAGGGGGTTCTCGCATTGGCCCTGAACAAGTGCATACTAAAGATGTCTCATTCCTGCCGGAGCGGGAGGTACGCTTATTTTGGACTGGACTCTGTCGAAATTAGTGCCTCGTCTTCGAGGCTGTTTAACCATCGTTACTCGGATTCCTCGGGTTAGGATCTAGCCTGGTTCCTATTGAGATTGGTGCCTACCACCGGAGCCTAAGCACTTACTCCTATCTCGCTTCCGGCCAATAGCGATCGAGCTCGAGAACACAAACTTGCAAGGAGGCCGAGACATGCGGACCCGGACCTGGAATGAACGTCGATCGCTCTCCTGGTTGCTGTGCAGGTACTTACAGGTACCTGGATCGAGAGCTGGGAGCCGACTTTGGCTGTTGCTGTGGGCGCCGTTGGACGCGATATGAAGAACAGGCCGAGTATTCGTTTCCTCCGTCCTCCGGATTTTGGTCGTCTCTCCAGGCTCTTGTTCACTTGCCATCATGCCGTCTGGTCTTCCTACCCCGCCCTTGTCCAACGCCGCGCAGGCATCAGACTCGTATTATGAGAGTTACTTCTCTTCCGCGCATGCTACGAGGGACAGAACTTGTGTCTGTCCCAGCGTGAAGTATGAACGAAAGCTGGGGGACAGCGAGCTGGCGTTCTACTTTCCTTCACGCCGGAGCGGCGTGAATGACATGTAAGTCGGTTACCAAGAATCCTGCCAGTTCATGCATTTCTGATGATTGTATGCTAGGTATGTCGCCCTTGGATTCCGCGCCGTCGAGCGGGTTATGCGCCGTTCGAGACTGCGCGTCGCATGGGCGATTCTGCGGCTGAGACATCCCCTCCTGGCGTCTGCAGTGGAGATGCTCAGTTACGACGACGTTCGGTTCACGTACGCTCAGTCGCTCTCTGGAAATGCAGCACTTTGACGAAAAGACCCATTAGATATACCGCGCCCAAGTCCCCCGATGAAGCTCTCATGGATGCAAGCAGTAACATAGAATACTGCACCCGGAGTAAAGATGGTACGTCTGCTCCCGTCGCGAAGAAGCGTGAATAACGCATCTTGCAGAACTCATCGAGAGATATGTGAACGGACCCCGCACTTTATCGGACTCACGTCTATCATGCCTCATCATCTCGCAACCGGGAGTGGGGGCGACTTCCCTCCCCACTCCGCCGTTGACACCGACGTGCTCTTCCAACCCTTCCAAAACTGATTTATCCGCTGAGGAGATGTACGATTACGAACTCCTCCTGGGTGCGACGCACTTCATTGGCGACGGCATGTCCGTCATTGATCTGTGCAAGTCGCTGTTTGATATTCTCGGGAGCGAAAAGACCACTTGTCAGCTTGAGGGGGTGTTGCGTGACGAATGGCACGCGAGGTTCTGCGAGTCCCGGCATCTCGTGAGTGACTTCAAGTACTCACCCACGACCCTGGTGTCTGACAATGTCGTGAAGGACGTCCTTCCCGTATGTGTAGAAGACAGGTTACCAAGCGCGTCGAGTAAATTTCACCGCGTCGCGGCAAAGGTCGACTACCTCAATAATCAGCGTAAAGACGTCGGCGGCCAGGTGTTTCCCCGGCGGCTGAGCAAGAAACGGCGTATCGCCAGCCGATGTGTACCGTTTGACGAAGAGAAGACCAAGCAGATGATGGCGAAATGCAAGGCCCAAGGAGTATCAGTTTCGTTCGTCATGTTCGCACTTTGCAACATGGCGTGGGCGAGAACACGACCAGATAATAGGCATCTACCGATGTAAGTGGGAAGTCATCGGGTCAGTATCGGAGTGCTGACAGTGCCGTTTAGGATGGTCTACTCTGCTATGAGTCTCCGTCCTTATCTCAAGCCCGCCCAAGCGGATGTGTCCGACCTCTTTTTGGCCGTTGGATACTTCAATGTCATCCTTCCCTGCTTCATCCCTGCAAACTGCGATCAATCAAGGCTATTCTGGCATCGCGCTAGAACTGCTAGAGATCAATGCGTCCGGACGGTCAAACACCCTATGCGAAGCTCTCGATCGCGCGAACTGGCGCGCAAGAGGGCGGACTTAGCTCGTGCATGGGCCATTGCAGAGGACACAAGACATGATCCCTCCTCTGACAGACGAGACCCGCCAGCTGTCCCGAGTGCGCAACCGGATGCTCCTCGAGCATTACTCGGGATCTCTCTGCTTGGCAACTTGAATTCATTCAAGGACCACGCGAAGGCGCCGCTGTTCGACCTCCGGATGCTGACGCCTGGGGTGCGCCAGCGTTCTGGGGGGATGCTCCTCTTCTCCCATACCTTTGCGGACAAGTTATGGATAACGATGAACTGGGATAAGCTCGGCTATGACCCTGAGGTTGTCGATACCTTCTGGAAGGGGGTGTTGAGTGGCATAGATGACTTTCTATGCTAGCATGTGTAAGAGTTATGACTTGGTTTCTTTGGGATTTTGTGGGGAGGGCATTGCTCTGTGTTGCATTGTGATCTGCTTATCCTTTCAACTCTTGGTGTAAAATAGGGTACGTGCCTAATCGAGTGTACAATAATGTACAACATACGCATCTGGACATCTTCACATCGTGACAATTACAGCCGGCGTCATTGGTGAGGTTAATCCCGAACTACCTTCTCAGCCTTGCTCAGCCAGTCATCATGCATGCTCAATCAGTCTTCCCTCTAGCACTTGACCATGAGCTATCCATGGCTGCCACTGGAAATCTACGCCCACATTCTTAAACTACTAGAGCCTTCATCGGACTCCGATGTGAGTGTAAAGACCCTGGTCCGCTGCTCTGAAGCCAATTCGACCCTACGAAATGCCGCTATCCTCCCTGCCCTATGGGAGCCACACTACCGGCTGCGATACAGTAACAGTGACCCTGAACATGAAGAATCCAGAAAGCAGAAATACCATGCCAACTGGAGGTTGATGTACGCCGAAAGGAGCCGCCTGGACGCGAGGGCGTTGGATATCTTGCAATCCATGATGGCTGAGCCACGGGGGAGGCTGCTACTGGCCAGAGATGTCGCTCACGGCCTCTCGTTCGACGTATGGCGTGTCCTAGAGCTGCTGACCCGAGGTCCCATCCCGCGCTGCTTCCTAGACGAGTCTGCTCAACATGAACAGGATGTTAACAAGCCAATTCCCCCGCACGCAATTACGAGGAAGTTCTGGGCCAAAGCTATGCTCGGTGTTATCGCTAGGCGGAACGCAATACGTACGTGGGGGCGTCTTCATCAGCCGGGCCACGATGTCACTTTTGAGGAGGCTCTATCGGGCTTGTCGGCTTTCTTCTGCGTCTCGCCGTATCAGGTGCGCTTGTAGTGTATTCGGCACCTGGATGCATCAGCCCATTATGCTTTAAAGATATCGCACCAGCTGGACGAGCTTGCATCTCAATGTAGGGCTTACCTGTCAAACGGTAAATTCCCCATAGATACCAGCGTTCATGACGATGTTGTGAGCGTGAGTGTTAGGATATGTGAGTTCCTCCGATCCTTAGGCTTCAGAGCCGCCGAATGTAAGTATCTTCGCTATCGGTATCACTGCATCCGCAGCTGATCCGCTATGTGTTAAGCAAGCAGATTCCATAACTTATTCAATCACTTCCCTCACCGCGTCCTCAGCACGAACAAGCAGACCTTACCCATGTCTTTGGTGTGGTTGTTCGTTGCAATAGCCAAGAGGCTTGGTTTACAAGCGTCACCGGTAGATTTTCCCGGCAGAGTCCTTGCTCATGTCGCCGTGACAAACCCAGACCAGGAGGATGTTTTACTAGACGTCTATGGTTCAGAGGTTAGAGCGGTGCTATCTGCCTCGGAGGATATACCTAGAATGCTGTCGGTTGCTGGTTTCCACCAGCTGCAAGTGAGCCCTCGCAGCATTCCGACCGGTCCCAGCCCCGCGGGTCCCATGCTCCTTCGCGCAGCCCGCAATATTGTAGGCTCTTTCCACATCATGACGCAGGCAGAGTTCGACGAGATATCTCAAACGGATTACGAAAGCGCCAGTTATGCTGCACTGTGTGCTGACTTGGTTATGACGAACAATGGTCGTGCCCTCACGCACTTGGTGGACCCAGACTGGCCCACAAGGCTGGATGTTGCACCGGTATTATTGGATTCTGTTGCTCCGCTACTTTCGACTATGAATCGGAGCCTTCTGGAGAGACGTTGCCGAGAACTCTTGAATGATGATGAAATACCGAGGGGCCCATCTTTGCATCATGAATCCGCGAAGGGCGTGAAATACTTCGTAGGGCTCTTCTTCACCCATGTCGCATACGCATATGTTGGGTGCGTCGTAGGCTGGGAGGTGCGTTCTCCGAATTTATGTTCGTTCATCGCAGATATCTTACCGTATCGTACTGCAGCCAACTTGTATGGCAACTGAAGAGTGGATAGTGCGTATGGGTGTAGACAACCTTTCTGGCGGAAGGCATCAGCCGTTCTACAAGGTCATTACATTGACGGGGTCGCCAAGATGTGAGTATTCCACCGCTTCGCTTCCTGCATATCTGACGTATCCGCGAAGACGTCGCAGAACAGAACATCGTTCCCATGGATCCTACTCCTCCAGATTTACCGAGCAGGTTCTATAACAAGCATCAAACGGTAGGGATGTTTTTTCACGACGCTGACGTGATGGAAGGGCGGCGCGGGAGGATGCTGTTGAGCCAGGAAATGATGTCTCAGTATCCCGAGGATGATGCTGTTGGGCAACGATGGGTAGAGACGGGAGATCTTTACTTACTGTAGTGAATGACACGCGAAGTCGATGTATCTGTACAAGTTGATCCGTGTAGCATTGCAATAATCTGCCACATCCTGACTTGGCGGGATCCATAATGTGACCCGTGACATGTGACTGACGCGCAGGCTTGACTTTCGTCGCAGATGTACACCAATCGGCCCAACGCGCACACGCCTGCCTACACCGCGCATTACTCTACAAACCGGCCAGGCCCCAACGTCACAGATGATTATGAACGTGAGTTTCCCCTCAATTCTACTAAACTGTCAGCTTATGTGCGCTCAGGCTGGTACACCGAGGCCACGCCGAACAACCGGATGCTACTATCCCTGCGTTCTGGTATCGACTCGGAAATATCCTGGGCCCTAGATCGTCTATGCAGACTCTGCAACAATGAGCAATTCATGCTCAGGTCAATACCTGGCCTTATGGATGCCCTGTTTGAGTGGCCGGAGTGGTATCTCGAGCAGTGTGAGGAGGACAAGACCCAGTACGCATGTTTATTCTCGGCTCCCCGGGAGACCCAGCGCAAGAGACGGCATGGCTTGGAAGCCCTGTTCATCTTGAGAAATTCTGCTATCAATGAGCCCAATGCTGTCGAGCTAGCCAATTACCCCCAAACCCTACCGATGTTGTTGCAAATACTCCAGAAGGTCCGTCCGAACACGGATTCCAATACGGAGTTCCTGCTTAACGCTATCGAAATACTTCAAATGATTGCTGTGGATTTGACCTTTCCTACTATGTCCCCCGCGGGGTCGAACCCCATCCCTGCATTAGAGCGCATAATTGGGCATTCTACCAACCGCTCGTTGGTCATCGCGTCCATGGTCACCTTGAACCATCTATTATCCAACCCTCGGAACTCGTCCTATTTATCTCCCGAATCGCCTGCACTAGGCGCTTCTCTGCAATACCTCTCGTTGTTCGTGGATAGACCTCTCGTGGATGCCTCGCTGAATTATTTATACACCCACCTGTCGCACTACTCGATGGCCAAGGCATTCTTGCTTCATCGTGATATGCCGAGCACGCTCAACTTGCTTGTGAGCCTGCTGTTGCATGAACAAGTGGAGGAAACAGTATCCTTGGACATTAGCCCGCCAGTTGCGACGATACCGACTACAGCGGTAGCACAACGCGATCATGAACTCACACAGGAAGAACTGGAGAGTCTCGTTTCTTTGCCGGAGCCTAACCGATGTTACGAATGGTGTGTTTTGCGTATCTCCAATCGAGCCTTGCTGAGCAATTGATAGGATGAGGACGATGTTCGTGCCGAAACAGGAGGGTGAACTGACCCAGGTCGAATTTTGGAACCTCTACAAAGACCAGTTTTCACGCTTCGCAGACCGATATCCACTCCTGGTTGCTTCGGACGTGATTAAGAATGTGAACATCGTCTTCCAGACAGCGCAAGCTATGGTTCTACCCGGACCTCCACAAAAGTTCGTTGTAAGGGGCGTTGATAGGAGGAAGGATAGCACGGCTAGCGAAAGGTTCAAGTGTCATTGGAACCGTTCCCAATGCGCTGCGTCTCCTTTCAATTCACCCAGTGAGCTCTACGAGCATCTCTTAGCGCAGCATATACAGACATACGAAAGCTCCGAGATGCCTTGCTTATGGTCCACTTGCTCCGCTGGACCGATGCCGAAGCCTGCCCTCCGTTCGCATGTGCTAACACATTTGCCCGGATCTCAGGCCCCAAAGAAACATCCTTCGCGGACGAATGAGATTACTCTACCATCACAGGATTATCCTTATCCTCAGGCCGATCCTACCACTCGCCCGCCACCACCATTACGGAAGGCGGTGGTCACCTACCAACGGCCCGTAGCAGATGCACCGTCAACGTCGCTGACTGCGTTGCTTTGTCTCCGGGTCCTGTTCAGGGCCTCTTTTGCTTCCACTGACGCTGCACCCCGGGTGGATGCGGACCACTTTGGCTTCCCCGGTATTGTGGAAGATGTTTCAGAGCAGGACCAGGCGGACGCTGGGATACAGGCTGCCGACGAGAGCGGACAGGAAGGTGAAAAAAGAGGCCGTAAGGCATTTGTCCGAGTACGGAAGATGATGCAGAGTGTACGGTTACGCGACGAGACGCTTATGGGTTGGATAGCGGAGATGGTGGATGCTGGCCTGTCAGGGACGTACTGAGATACTCATAAGTATTCTTGTGTCTGTATTATTAGCACGGTTTGTATCGCATCGACACTTGTTTCCCGCCTTTTTTTCCGCAGCGCCCGTTCATGCGCTCCTAATCCTACCGCAATCCACCCTGTTTCTCGTATCTGTGGTGCGTGCGTGCGGGTGCTGCAGTTGCAGAACTAGGGTTTCCACTCATCCTCAAGGCGGCGTAGCCTGATGACATTAGCTTGACATGGCAGCTCGCGATCGACGCAATACCTTGCAGTCGCAGTTGGCTCCCAGGTTCATTTCTGTGTATACTAAGCTCCTCAAGGTAAGACGTACGCATTCTTACATGTCTTTATTTTTCATTGCGCTGATCCAAGCGCAAATCCAGGGAGTTGCGCCCAGTACAATCAGCCCAAATGTCGAACACGAGAGGTTCTGGTCCGAATTGCTCACGTTGCAAGTGGACCGCGAGTTCCTTCTCCAGCAGATTAATGCGTTGCACAAAGAAGATTGTATGGGAAGACTGAAGGTAGGTGATTCTCTGGTTCAGTCCTATCGCTATGACTGAAGGCTATTGTAGTAGTCTCCTCTCAATACGCTCTTTAGGGAATGCGTCGCCTTTGCGCGGAAGGCAGCATATGATGACCCGAAGAAATCCAATTCTATCGAGACAATTTCGATACTATCCCGGTGTATACTCCGCAAGGATCTCACAGGCTGGGAAGTGATGGAAGTATTTGCCGGTGGAGTCCATGCAAGTGACCAGTTTTTCATGGTACGCGTACTTTTTGTACCCAGGATCTCATGATGTGACATACGGCTTTAGGATATGGTCGAACTAATAAGAGAACTACTCAGTGATGAGGCAGCACCTGGTAGGTGACTCGTTCATGGTGGAAAGGACACCACTCAAGCCTATTGTAGTCTCCATACGACATCAGACTTTGCAGTTGGGCGTCATCTTTATGTGCGGCGTCGGTCAGCTCAGTCCTGGCGCTTACTTTCTGCGACGCGATCTCTTCCCATCAATATGTGATGTGAGTAGTCTATGATGTCTCTGGGAAACGCTCTCTCAGCTGTTCATTAATATAATGGTTGGGTTGGTGCAGTTCGTGAAGCACCGGAATACCAGACAATATGCTTTCGAAGCTGCACTATTCCTCTGTCTGCTAGCCAACTTCCACAGATCGGATTCGGCAAAGCTCAATCCATATGTGCACCACATACATGAGACAGTTGATGTGGATGCCATGCGCACTATCTCGATAGCATGCAAATTTGCAGTTGTGACAAGCGTTAAGTATGTTAGTATTCTAATGTTATCGCCAGCCACACGGCTCAGTTGTCAACAGGGCATACTGGAGTATATCAGATGACTCAGAGCCTACCTTTATGAGCGCCGTAGGGACATTGGTGACTAGCCTTCGTCCAGATCGGGCGTTCTCATCGAAGCCAGTCGATCCTCCTCGTGAACTTTTCAAAGACCAGTACGTCCTCTCGGTGCTTCCCGGGCTGTGCTTTATCACTGAGCGCTTCAAGGCCGATAGAAGCGACCCTCGCCTTGTTGCCTGTGTACGAATTCCTGCACTCCAACCAAGTATTTGCTTCCTTGCTGTTGGAGGAGCTGCACATGCCGTCGGAGAAAGCGACGTCCCCGACTGTGACCTCCCCTCTGCTATTGATATTACTGACATTATCATCCTATTTATTGACTCATGCGACATCTTCCAGCACTCCTCGTTCTGCTGCCTACGGAACCATGGCCTTACATCTCTTGAATGTTATGATGGACAACGACGCGATCTTTCGAGCATTCTGCGAGCCACACAAGATTAATATAAGGATATGTCGTCAAGTGAGCGAGTGACAATCTGAGTAATCATTTCTGGATTTCTCAACTTGCTGGCAGAGACTGCCTGTGCTTCCAGCGCAATCCCCGCCACGAGCCCCGCTTTGCGCAGTGCTAGATTGCTGCGTCCTATGGTTACGCCACAATTTACATAAGAAGCTTCAGACGAGCTCGTACATGTACAGTCTATGCGCCCATACAAGTCAGACACGGGACTGATTCCGACATAGCATCTGCGTCAGGATATGCTACAGAACTCTGTGGATGTTACGGAGAGACGGCGTACGCATAGGTGCGTGAGATTGAATCGGATTGGCACAACATGGGACCTCAAGTGTCACGCAAAGATTATCACTGGCAGGAGCTCTGGAGGGCCGTCATCGGACTACTAGACTTCCTGACTCGGAGCGACATCACAACGACGGGCGGTAGCCTTTTTCAATTGCAGCACGAGGTAACCTCCAACACGTACATTTGCCGCTTTAGCCCAGTATTGACGAGTGTCTCCAGACCTTACTTTTAGTAGATTTCGTACTATGTAATTGTGAAGCGCTGCTGCCATCCCCACCAGCCATCCATGAATGCATTGTGGGTCTGCCTCATTTTGCTTTCTTCGGAAGAAGATACTCAACGACGTACAGTACGAACTTGTTCGCTCCATCTCGACTTTGAAGAAGCAAAATGTGCAGCCAGACACTGCGTCCGCGTCAAGACCGATGCATGGACGTCACAGACAGTCATCTGGCTCGGAGGAGGCCTACGACCCATTGGCACATGTACTTCGCACCGTAGCTTTCTACGAAGAAAAGGTCCATAGTGCAAACGCCCGCTCAGCGAAAGAGGCTATGCGTATACTTGCGAAACACGTAGACAGTGAGGGCGTGCTGGGCTCACAAGATGCTGGCCAGTTCGCTGAACCTTGGTGAGTACGGGACTTCTGGGTAAATGGAGCGACTCATAGAGCGAGGCATCAGGATACGGAATGAAGACCTCTCAGGATTCGCGAAATATGCGGCGATAGACGGCCTTTCGCTCATGCCCTAGGCAGAATTTTGTAGTGGTGTAGAATTATTACTACGGGTTCATGTAGGAGCCTGATGAGCTGCGAAATTCAGCATACCGCCGCGTTAAGCTTGACCGTACTTGAGTACACGTACTGTATAGCGAGTACTATCATTTGGGTAGTTTTGCAAAATTTGCAAAACTACCGCAGCCCCTAGAGAGAGCTCTATACCAAATTAAAAAATTCAGAGACTTTTTAGGCATGTAGAGATAGACTAGTAGATACCCTCTGTCAAGTTGGTTTAGGGAAATATCGAGTGGTCATGGAGAGGGAGGAAGAGGAGGATGTTTGCAACCGCCTACAGACCGTGTGAAACCTAGATCTGGTACTCATTCCATGGTTTTTTGCCGGGATTTTGTTGGGACTATACTGGTGTACCATACATTGAGCTACTCAAGCAGCCCGATTGTGAAGAGAGGATGTAGCTATAGCGATGCTGTTTTGCAAAACTTCGAGAGGAGGATCGTGACAAAAACGTGATGGATCTCGCGGGGATGTCACGCGTGACAAACTTTTGCAAAACCCCCTGCACACCGCGGCATCTGTCCAGCATCCTCTACACCACGTATTAAAATACAAAGAAATCACATTCGGGTACATAGAAGGGTGCTACACGATGCCATGAAAAAACTCTGACGCAAGAGCCAGCGAACTGAGCGCAACACGTCGATTTACAGAGAGTTTTGCAAAACTACCCAAATGATAGTAAGTACGCCCACTGGCTCGGACCTGGACGCGACGCGCGGAATCCCGAGTCGACGCGGTGGTGAAAAACTTTTTCATTGCATCGGAAGTGTCCGCTTATGCGATGCCCCAGTTTGGAAATTAGACAGGATAGGGTCTGTGTCGCAAGACCCTGCCCATCGCGGTGCAAGCTGTTACTGAAGCAAAATCGACAAGGGGAACTGGTTTACGTCTCCTATTTTGATTGGGTGCTTCCGTGTATTCAACAGTCTTTCCCTGGTATCAATACGAGGATAGGAAGTGCGGGAGGCGTCTTTCAGCCACCGCCATAGATGAACGGGGTTCCGAGTAACATCAGATAGATGGAGGGCATTATATGTATTACGTCTCGTTATAAAAGCGCTTGCGAGTTGTTGACTATCTTGACCGTAACGATGAGTGCGAGACTCGATAAGCTCGTCGGCGGCGATCTACTCGGTGAATGGCTCGGTGAATGAATATCTCCAACATAATATAGGCCTTGGCCTGTGTGAGGCGATCTGCAGGTCTCCTTTTCCACCCTATCCTCGTCGCGGAGGCTAGCTCAGCCTAGGGGTTGGTAAGCATGAACCGTCCTGGCCATCTTCTCCGGAAACGCTTCTTCGGTTATGGTGGAGTTCGCAATCGCTCGTTGTTGAAGTTGGTTGCTCGGAGGACGTTGGCGACGCAGGCCGACACGGACGTCTTTGCCCCTCTTGATACCTTCCCCGACCGTCACATCGGTCCTGACCGCAATGAGACGTCTTACATGCTCTCGAAGCTGGGCTATGACTCCATGGAAGCATTCGTTGCTGCAACTGTACCACAGAAGATCCGTGTGTCGTCTTCCTCAGTAAGCGACGCGTCTATACCGGCGCTGAGCGAGGGTGAATTGCACGCACGCGCAAGGGAATTGGCCAACGCGAACGCGCCCTTTAGAAGCTACATAGGTATGGGTTATCACAATGCTGTTGTACCCCCCGTCATCCTGCGGAATGTGAGTCAGAACGTCGCCTGTTCAAGGTACTTCAGGGTCTAAGATGCCTCTCAGATTATTGAAAATCCCGCCTGGTATACGCCATACACGCCGTATCAACCTGAGATTGCTCAAGGTGCGTAATAGAATACATGCATCGTGCCAGGAAACTGATTCTCGACTTTTAGGACGGCTTGAATCACTCGTTAACTTCCAGACTATGGTCATGTCTTTAACGTCTATGGATATTGCGAACGCGTCATTACTGGATGAAGCAACAGCCGCCGCCGAAGGCATGGTAATGGCTTACGCGCACTGTGGTCAGAAGAAGCGGACCTTTTTCGTGGACAAAGGCATATCTCCTCAAACCCTGTCTGTCCTGCGTACTCGTGCTAAGGGCTTCGGAATTGATCTGGTAATCGGTGATGCTCTCAAGGGCGTACAGGAACACATTTCCACAGGAAAGCTCTGTGGTGTCCTTGTGCAATATCCGGACGTAGATGGCTATGTTCGGGATTATGGAATGTTGACCGAGACTGTGCACAAAGAAGGAGCGTTGGTCCTCTGTGCCACCGATCTCCTAGCGCTCACTATGCTGAAGCCACCAGGTGAATGGGGCGCGGACATAGTCTTTGGTAATTCCGCCCGGTTTGGTGTTCCTGCGGGTTATGGAGGACCGCATGCGGCCTTCTTTGCGTGCAGCGATGCTTTGAAGCGAAAGATGCCCGGCCGTCTGATTGGAAGAAGTCGAGATACTATGGGACGACCCGCCTATCGGCTTGCTTTGCAGAGTACGTGTTTCTTCAACTAAGTGTGAGACCTGAGATCTGAGATGCTTCTTGGTAGCTCGCGAACAGCATATCCGTCGTGAAAAGGCTACCAGTAACATCTGCACAAGTCAAGCCCTGCTTGCTAACATGGCGGCTATGTACGCTGTCTACCATGGTCCTGTTGGCCTGCGACGTATCGCGAACAAAGTCCACCGTTTCACTCAGATTCTCAAGTCGTCGGTCGAGAGTGTCGGTTTCAAGGTCGTCAATGAAGGCTTTTTCGACACCCTGACAGTCAACGTAGCACCTTTGGACGGTGTCAGTGCGGATGCCGTCCACAATGCAGCGCTGGCTGCCGGTATCAACCTGCGTCAGGTGGATGCCGCACATGTCGGTATAACCTTGGATGAAAGCGTTACCCCTCGGGATCTTGTCGACATCATCAACGTGTTCAGGACCTCTGCATCTTCTCCCGTTCTCACTGTGACAGATCTGACGGTCCCTGCTGAATTGTCTGTTCCTGCCGCTTTGCAGCGTAACTCCAAATTCCTGCCCCATCCTATCTTTAACCAGCACCACTCTGAGACGGAGATGCTTCGCTACATCCATCACCTGCAGGGCAAGGATCTTTCATTGGTTCATGCCATGATCCCCCTTGGTAGCTGCACGATGAAGTTGAACAGCACAAGCAGCATGATTCCCTTGACATGGCCGCAGTTTAGTGCCGTCCATCCCTTTGCCCCTAAGGATCAGGTCAAAGGATATCTGCAGATTATCAAGGTATGACAATAGCGCCGCTGGAGGGACGCATTACTAAGAGAAAGTACGTGTAGGAATTGGAAGATGACCTCTGCAAGATCACCGGTTTCCACGCTTGTACATTGCAACCAAATTCTGGTGCAGCTGGGGAATATACTGGACTGTCTGTCATACGTGCCTATCAAGAATCCATCGGCCAGGGCCATCGAAACATTTGTCTGATCCCCGTCAGTGCGCATGGTACTAACCCGGCCGTAAGTATAGTTTTCTGCATTCTTCCCGTTCCGAGATTCAGGCGTTCGTTTAGTCCGCTGTGATGGCTGGTCTCAAGGTAGTACCGGTGAAGACTCTTCAAGACGGCAGTCTTGATTTAGAGGACCTGAAGACCAAAGCGGAGAAACACAAAGATAACCTCGCGGCTTTCATGGTAATAGTCCTCATGCGGGAATGCGAGCTGGACTGATTGGAACGCACAGATCACTTATCCATCCACATTCGGTGTCTTCGAGGCCGGCGTCCAAGACGTAGGCTGTCTTGCTTGTTGTCCGTAGCAATAGGGCTGAATCCTTGCCACAGGCTTGCAGAATCATCCATGAGAATGGTGGACAAGTATATCTAGATGGTATGCACCTGGTTGCACTCATGGTATTGCAGAGAACCGAGCTCACACCATGCAGGTGCTAATCTCAATGCCCAAGTCGGTCTGACTGATCCAGCTACGTGCGGAGGTGATGTCTGCCACTTGAACTTACACAAGACGTTCGCGATGTATGTGTCTTTTTGTCATATCATGCACTCGCCTGATTAAGTCTCGGACAGTCCCCATGGCGGTGGAGGACCTGGTGTTGGGTGCGTATCAACATGGAGTCCCTGTGATGGTCTCTGACGTCCAGACAGACCTATCTGTGTCGCTGAGCATCTTGCGCCTTTCTTACCTGGCCATCCTGTTGTGGCCACGGGTGGTGACCAAGCTATCGAGGCCGTGGCCGCAGCGCAGTTTGGTAGTGCATCGATATTGATAATCTCTTGGGCTTACATCAAGATGCTCGGTGGAGATGGCCTTTCCCACTCGTCCAAGATAGCCCTGCTGAACGCAAACTACATGGCTCATCGACTGTCGGGCTATTATAATCTTCGGTATAAGAATCATAATGGCCGGGTTGCCCATGAACTTCTCATCGACCTGGCGGAGTTCGACAAAGCCGCTGGACTGAAGGTTACGGATTTCGCAAAGCGTCTGCAGGACTACGGGTTCCACCCTCCGACCTGCTCGTGGCCGATCTCTACTTGCATGCTGATTGAACCGACTGAGTCTGAGACCCTGGAAGAACTAGACAGGCGCGCTTCTTTCGAGTCATCGTCGATGCCTCCCCGCCTTGACAATGTTTTCGTAGATTCTGCGATGCTTTGATCCAGATACACCAGGAAGCTCAAGATGTAATCGCGGGCAAGCAGCCGAAGGAGAACAATGTTCTGAAGAACGCCCCCCACCCACCTCAGGTTATCGCTTTACCCGAAACCGAATGGAATAGGCGCGTGCTCGAAACTGCCTTTATCAACAGTTCCAATTTTCTCACTTTACATATAGACCATATTCACGGATGACCGCTGCGTACCCCAAGCCTTGGTTATTAGAAAAGAAGTTCTGGCCAACGGTGTCTAGGATCGACGATGGTAGGTACAGATTACATGAACGTATTATCGTACTCTGATTTCGTCTTCTTACTAGCATACGGCGACTTGAACTTGATAGTAAGTCTTTACCTCTCACTCCAACTCATCTTGAACTTACCCCTGCCCCAGTGTGACTGCCCATCTGTCGAGGAGACAGCTGGTTCCTCATGAGCCAGATCATACGTTGTTGATGTTCTCAAGCTCCAGGCCAGAGTCATTTGCTTTACATAGATCACACCGCGATGCTCAACCACACGCGCATTTAGACTGTATCATTATGTCTTTGTCTAGCCACTGTAAACTACGTCTAATTCCGGATCTTCAACGTATCCGGTAATATTTTCCATAGTTTCGGGAGATGCAGCCGTATGAGGGACGCCGTTTTCTCGTACCGATCGTTTCTCTGTGCGCAAGCTAAGACAACGCGCGCGCTTTCGACGTCGGGAGTAACATCCTGCAGTGGATGGCCCATTTCGAGACACAGTAGCCTCATCGCTTCATCGAGCAGATCTTCTCGACAGAGACATTCCAGCCATGTATTCCAGTTCTTTTGATCCAGTCTGAAGCCAGAGGAGTGGACTTGAGCGTATATCTTCTGCGCGAGAGATGTTTCTCCTCTAGACTTGCAGGCGTCACCGATGATCCTGAGAGTGGTGTTGTCATATCGCCCACTCAGCTGAAGGCGAGCCCACACACGGTAGGCATCCCCCAGCGAACCCACTGCTATGTATGTCTCCATCAAGCGATTCCATAGGACCGTGCTCGGGGTAAAAGCAGGTTCCACCATGAGGAATTGATGAAGACGCCTAGCTGCAATGACAGCATCCTCGCGTATTTGGCCACGGGCAATAGCTCGGTGTTGAGACATAATAGGGATGTAGACGTCCTCAGTTACGGGACGTCTGTCTCGGCGCATGTCTCTGACAATCTGAAAGTACTGCTCCGGAACTAATGCACTTGTCTCCGCGCAAGGGGCTTTGCAAATCGCGCGCAGAAGTGTCATATACTCTTCCCCGCTGGGAGAAAGGTCAGGCCATTGATTCTTGACCCACTTGTATATTGCGAGGTTCCAATCAAAGGTCGTTGAAACCCGCCAAAGCAGGAGGATGATGGTGCACATAGTGGAGCTACTCGTGGTTACGTCGAACTTGCGCATGTCTTGGATCAAAGTTGTGGCGATAGGAAGGTACTTCGTTCTGTTGGACGATGCAAGCAGAGTACGCAGGAGAACGATGAAAATTCCAGGGTCAGGTTTCTCCACGGGTTGAGACTTGACGGAGTCCTCGTAAATGCGGAGTGCAGTGTCGATGATGCCGTCCTCGGGAGTCTGAAGAGGCCTCGAATAGACGCATACAGCTTCGATGAGAGCGACAGCTATGTCCTGGTCCACTTGTATTCCAGAAGCGCGGGCCTCAGAATAGATGGTCTCCGCCTGCTTAACCGTTCCGTCGCGTAGAGCGTTTCTAACCACCAAAGACCAACCCGAAGAAGTCGCAGTGACATCCATCTCTCTCTCCAGCTCCCGCAGCTCGCCGACAGAGGACGCGTCGCCTAACACTACATCCAATGTGCTTGGTTGCGGTCGGAAACCCCGAGTAGCGTACGTCTTGAACAGCTTGAGAGCTGCACGACGTCCGTACCTCATGCATTCTTCAGCCAACTTGTCGTTGTAGCGCTGGAACTTCAGGTACTGGAAGTGTTCGCGGACGAGAGCTGCGTGGGAGGACAAGTCCGGGCGACTCGAATAAGTCTTCCACAGTTTGGCGACTTCGGATTCTTCCTCTGGTAGATAATCCCTCCTCAACTCTTCTAGTAAAATCGAGAGGTCGCCGAGGGAGAGAACATCCTTGGCCAGGACACGTAGAATGACCGAAGCCATTTCAGGCAAAAGGTTATCGGGGTTTCTCGACGCTATCCGCCCTTTCCGTATTAGACCGATGGTTGGCAGAATGAGAGATGAAGTCCCTATCTGATCCAAATGATCGAGGAAGCTAAGCCACGCCTGGTCGCTCGGATAGAAGGGATCTTCATCCTCCACCATATTCCTTAACCAGTCGAACGCAACGTATGTGTGGCCATACTTCAAAAGCGTAGTGACAGCTTCATCATGCATGCCCCGCTGCACTCGAATGCCGTGCAAGACAGTCATATCGGAGAAGATATGCTTCGCGGTGTCGATGTCCTCCGTAGTTCCCGCAGTAAGGAGGATTCGAATACTGTGCATGAGCTGTTGCTCATTGAGATTGTAAGATGTGGTCGCCGCTGCATTGGGGCCTCTCTTTTCTTTCAGGAAACGCGCCAAATCCGCATATGTCTGACGAACGCGGGGTGCATACTTTTCACTCAGGGCTTTCTGGAACGTCCTGACCAAAGTACGAAGTTCACTGGGAGGCCGGAATTGGAGTTGTATCGATCGTCCTTGAAATACAAGAGGATTCGCCGCAGTAACTGTTCCAGAAAGGACATTGACGGGGACTGTAGATCGCTGAAGAGTCCTCCGTGACCATGGCTGCGCGTAGCGTAGGAATTCAGTGGATCTAACAGACCCCCTCCATAGGGACATTCATGCGGGCTAGCGTTAGAGGAAAAGGAGCTTCAGCACGAGTCCTACAAGGCACGATGTAAGACGTTTAACGCACCAGTCCGCCCAAGCGTAGCTGGTTGTCGAAAGCAGGGCGTGGGAACCTGGCTGCAATATGGATTGTGGCACTTACACGTAGGGCTTGTCCACACGCATATCACTGGCACGTCGCTAATTCCAATCCTTACTCTCCTTCCTATTTTCCCACTGGTCTCTTCGTCATGTCGGAAAAGGTCAAAGAGTTCATCGAAGTACCGCAAGAGTTTATTAGGGATGGGAAGCAGGTACGAGTCCTGGTGCGAGACCAAGTTAACCGGCTTACCGTGTCCTCTTTACAGTTCCTCACCCGCTGCACAAAACCTTCCCAGAAGGGTGCGTACCGAATATGATTCTCCCTTGGCGATACTCATAGTACTTCAATAGAGTTCACTCAGATCTGCCGTGCTGTCGCCATTGGTTTCGCCATCATAGGTTTCATTGGGTACTTCGTGAAGCTGATCCATATCCCTATGTGAGTCTTCTCTTATGTTGTTTCAACGTCAGCGTTCTTACTGTCGATGCAGCAATAATATCCTAGTGTATGTCTGCTATCTCTGTTCGTCGAACGTCCGTCTCACTTCGTCAATAGGGGAGGTGCATAATCTTCCGCTTTCTGTATCGCTGGCGACATGTATGGTTCAGGGAGGTAATGCATTGGATCTCGGCTGTCTGTATCGCGCTCGCGGCAAGCTTTCCTTTGGGTGGACCGTCTTCACATTGCGTCGACGTGAAATGGTCGTTACGACATGTTAATGCAACCGTTGGAAACGCCGGTAGAACAAATCTTTGCTGTCAACCGCAATATTTCTACGACTTCTTAGTTTCTGGAACTGCGAGTATAGGAGTTCGCAGTGCCTCCTCCAACATGAGCTCAGCTTCCGATGGTCTCCGGCTGTCCGCCTGAGGACATTCCCTTCCATCCGAATCTTTGTGCCTCCACCACCTCCAGAAGCACCAAACGTGGAAGACGTCCTACATTAGATCTGTCAAAATCACTGTCCTTTCGAGAGAGACTCAGCGGCGTACCTTCTGCGTCCCAAAAATAAGAAAGGCTACTAGAGGAACTACCGCTACGCAGTCAGTGAACTCGTCAAGCACGATGTCATGTCACTCACGGGACGCCATGATCATGTACGGCAGTGCCCATTTCGAATGGACCACTAGCACTATACAAACCCTTAGGTGCGTCAACAACTAGTGACCTTGGCATTCGAACGTACATCAGACTCACCCTAGCGTAACCCAGGTATAGAATATGAGAATGGCTACTCGCAAGGACATGGATATGGAAGGCCTCCGTTTAGCTAGTGGAAAGGCTTGCTGGGTCTTGACCCATCGCCGAGAAAACTTGATCGCTATTGCGACTGGCCTTGGTGTCAATTGTCATTCGGTTGGTAAGATGCATAGTACTAACCTCCGAATCCTGTTATCACAGCGACCATAAGAGCGCAAAATACGGCTACTATGTCTTGTCTGAGAACATATTGATTATAAGTGGACTCGCACGAGGTTGGCCGCTGACAATACTTACAGCGGATCAATCTGAACGGAGCAATACAATCCAGAAGGGGCGCCCACCATTTCTGGGTGAGCTGCGATAATCTGCTCAGGGGCGGTAAGCATGGGTCCATGGCTGCATAAAGGTCGTTTAACTCACAAGACCGCTAGCCATGGCGAAAACGAGGAAAGTTAGATAAGGTGGAGCTAACGCCTAGACAATACGAGTAAGAATATACCCTGCGAGCGGGAATCGTCCGACAATGCCTTACTAGTGCAAGATCCGCCCGTCGCGAAGCTTTGCGCCATCCGGAGACATAGAAATGCGGCTCATTAAACATAGACCAGAGCTGACAAGAGATGTGAGATATTAGTAGCGAGGAAATGTGGATCAGCTTACTTGCACCGTGACAGCGACGCCAGCGACCGCTGCCCTGCAGAGACAAGCGTTTAAGTGGGGAGTGTATCAAACCTTTCAACCACTCACATAGGCGAGGCTCCATTGATCAGGATTGCTTGCGCCAGACAGAGCTTGCTAGGGGAACTGGGGTTCGTGAGACCGTTCTTGTCGTACGCACTGGGAGATTAACGATAATTAGATTCATATATTTGCTGCCTGGCGGGTACGCACGTCAGGCAGTAGAATACAGAATACAGTATCCATATAATACAGAAGTTCATGAGCGTCGGATGGCATGAAGCGCGTTTAGAGAGCAGGAAAGTCAGAACGAGGAGCGGCAGGCCAATGTGCCCTCCAACAATATGTAAGGCGAGATACACGGGCTTCAATGAGGCCAAGGATGGCGTGTCGTCGCCAGCATTGATCCCTGCAATAGAGGTTGCATTTATAATGAGCAATACGAGCCGCGGGGAGCCACTCACAAGTCGCAGCTTGCAGGTCCCTACCACTGAACATGAGGATGCTTTAAAATGCTCTGTGGAAGAGTGAGCGATCTGATCTCAGCTACCAGAGCAGATTCAAAGTAAGAAAGCGACGCGGAATGGGCAAGACTCCAAGTGGAGGTCAAGAGCATCAGCAACCATGAAGGTCAAGAAAGGGTACCCGTAATCTCCCTTCAGCTGGGCCCTGTGATGTTATTAAGGCTGCGCATCTGCTGGCGTCAAATATATCACCTGAAACATCTCTGATAATCGAACAATGCATCCAGAAGTAAGATGGAACAAGATATCGTAAGCCTCTCAACCAATTGGCCGCAACGTTATTATTTAGTGAGAAGGAACAATAAGAAAGTCGGTTACCGCATCATCGAAGGGGGGGGGAGGGGGTTATTAACGGCTGCATGAAGGCCGTAGCCATACACGCGAGACATGTGTATGAAATGGGGAGTCACTATGCCTCGGCCTGTCCCTAGGCCGATAACATGGGCAACGCGGTAGTAGGAGCTGAGTCAGGTCTCCCGGACGGCACGAGAGGAATGGCACCTTGATTATGACTACGGTCACGAAAGGGTATAACGCTATCGCAATGTGCTATTCTCGATCAAGAGCAGGCCAAATCGTGCAGACGGCTTCACAAGGTCTATGACAGGATACGCATTGGATTCCGCTGAAGGAAGCCCGAAACGAAGAAGACTCGTCTGTTTCTCGTTGCCCTCTTGTGTGATTGGAGGTAGCAATGGGTCAAGCAGAAGTTGCGTTCGTCGTAAGTAATCAAGGGAAGAGTCTTCCAACGAGACCGGGGGAGATGACTCCGGAAACTTCGGAGTATGGAAGTGACTATGCGTCAGAAGACGAGACGAAGTCGCTAGTATCAGACTAACCTTCCGTCGTAACATCGCAATGGTGGACGTAATGGAGTTCGAGGTATCAAGCCAGTCATCTCCTCGGAGTTCTACGAGTTTTTGCAGGAACACCAGATCTCCAAGCGCTTCTCCCGAATCGAACTTGGAAATTTCGCTCTCGGCACTGGTCAATATGCTAGTCATAAAAGACCGAAGTGTCTCATCTGCCTGCCCTCGCATTGATTCGGGACGGTAGGCCATTCCGAACTGATGAACGGACGACACTAAAGACGATAAGCACTGCATCAAGGCAGATGACGGTCGAGAGTGGAGACGGTGAGCTATCGAGCCTTCATTGATAAGAGAATAAATGGGAGTGTTCATAATGCGCACCCGTAGATGTGGACCCATGTCGCGTGGAAGTGAGGCACCGCCAGTAGTCTTGCACGCTTAGCTCGATATTCCTCTTTCTCCACTTGTCCACACTGCCGTGATGCAGCCGCCTCATCCCGGAACGAAAATCTGTGAGCAAGCTAGACGTTGTGAATTCCGTGTCGGAACGGCGAACATGACTGACCTTCTGCGACCTGCGCACTACATCCGATATGCTTCGAAAATTCGGAGGCAGATTCCAGCGCATCGGCAACCTGCGCAATGAATATAATCTTGTGCAGGGGAAAGTCTGTTTGATATATGTGAACAACGGCGGCGACCCAGAAAGTACTCGAAACAACCTTGTTCATCGGAAAGATTGTTCAAGCTCGACTCCAATGCCTCCAGGACTTGCGAGCAGGTGACATTTGCTTCTAGGCGGTATTCATGCAACATCGACCCTACTAATTCTCTGGCGACATAGTCAGACGACAGGCGCAGTGGGATAGAACCTGAGACTAACTCCGAATCATCCTTCTCGCTTTGGACGGCCTGTAAACTTCTAGATAGTTCCAGTGCTGGAATCTCCAAACTCTCCAGCACTTGGTCCAGGAGTGTTGTTCGACCAGATAACTGGTGGCGAATCGCTGCCTTATATTTCAGAAACGCGTCAATATTCGGTGTAGCGATTCCGTCCGCCTGAGGCAGATGTAATGAGAGTGTATGTGAGAAAGTGTTGAGCGAGGACGTATCTAATCGATAAAACAGGATGAGTTGCACGTCCACGCTCTGAGAACACAATGGTGCACAGACCATTCCCTGCACATCCAATATTCGCCATAACCGAAGAGAACGTTTCCTTGAAATTCCGGGCTACAAGTGACAGAGTCATTGTCCACATGGACAACACACGCTTGGTATATAAGTCGTCGAGAGCGGTGCTTAAACGTTTTCTTTCTGCGTCGTGCAAACCTTTGCTGCTTCGCAGCCCTTGGAGAACCGCCCTACGCACTTTCCATACCTCCTCGACGCTGTTCAAATCCTCCAACCAGCGCTCAACCGACGGAAGACAGTCTTGTAGAGCGTTGTCGAACCAGTCGTGCAATCTCGTGTGCAGATGGGATGGCTGCACCCTGGACGACGAGGAAGAGAGGTCAACATATGGCTTATACGCTTTGATATTTTGAGGCAGGTATAGGAGGTGCGTTGACGACGGTAGATCGGTGAGTAAGCTTATAGTTGTAAACTGAAGCTCTTTTGGCAGGGCATCCACAGACGAACTGGAGTGATCTGACTGAATGAAGCCTAGAACTCGCCTGATCAGGCATGGCCCCGTATCAGCGTCTTCTCGAAAAATGTCCCTAGCTGTCGACACAGTCCCAGAGATAACATCCAGTACCGCCTGTACTTTCCCCTTGACTTCATGGACGACGGATTTGCGGATCTTAGACCGTCTAGTCTGAGCATGGGACGAGCGTCGGTAGACATGTCCATTTCCCTCTTTGCGCATCGTGTGGTCCGATAATAAAGAACTGACAGTCCTGCGGCGCTGGGACAGAAACACGGACAATGTATCAACCAGCGGCCGGGAATCTAGAAAATGGAGCGTCAGCAGGGTAGCGCAAATATCCTATTCCAGATAAGCGCGTCAACGCGATTATGATACCAAAACTATTTGAAGAGGCGCACTGTTGACGACATGGCATGCTCCCTGAGCGACAGAGTTGCCTTGTGCGTTATTTGAGAACGAAATTGGGAGACGGTGTCCCATTGGCGTTGAACCAGAGGGAATTGTTCCTGGACTCACTTCGTACCGAGTTTTGAGGTAGTTGAGTAGTCTAAACGTACCTCGACATCTATTCCATGGCTTTCCCAACTCTCCTTATTATCCGCATCGTCATTTGAGAGGGCTCGATGAACCACGCGAGCCAAGAGGAAAAGCCACGCTGCCTTCAGGTATTGTTTCCTTTCCAAGAGACGCCATATATGTTCAGGGGCATCCAAGAGGAGCTTGATATGCGTAGACAATGATTGCAGGCTTTGTAGCTGTGCGTCTGATTCAAGCTAGTTAATACCATGCAGTAGCGCCATGTCCGTGAGGTACTCGCCATCCTGCTGCGCATGGGAGGGTCTGACAGGAGAAGAGATTTGCTCTCGTGATGGAATAGCAGCCTTCATATCCTCCAGAGCATCCACTACATGTCTGGCGGACGCTGACAAGGAGATAATGGAGGTCGATGCCTGCAAGAGGTCTCGATATCGTTCCCTGTGCTTTCATTTGCGGTCTGAATACGTAGTGTACATGCGCAGTAGGCTTACGCACCCAACCATCTGTCTGAGCTCCTCCTGCTTTGCGTCCGCATCAGCCCTACACCATCTACGTCAGACATCCGGTACCCTACATAACTCAAACCGAGGGTTATCACCGTAAACGACTTTGAATGGCCTTGACATGAGCGACAGGGTATTTCACGAAGAGCTGATCTGGATCATCCATGTCCACGTCGTCTTCAAGGCCGTTCACCGGCACTTTGTTGTTAGAGGCATGCCGTGCAACCATCCGTGGCGTCTCTCCATCGGGTGGATTCTGTATATTGGCTGAAGAGCCACGAGGGGTACCCTGTATAGATTTCAGAAGAGTCACCGGAGACGCGAGGGACGCCAGTGAAGTAGCAGATCCTCGCCCAGCCATGTAGTGGTAAACCCAGAAGAAGCCCTTGGTGGATGCGACTCAAACGCGTCAAGGCGATTACACGAACGACGGCATATTCCGTAGACGTGCAGACTTGGTCTTCCACGACAAACTACAGGAAAATGGATTCGGAACATAGCATATTGTACTCATGGACGTGTTCGCAACAGCGGTGAAGGAGACAAAATTATATTACTTGCTTTATAGAGAACATCAGCCATATACCTAAATCGCGCCGTATCGCGGACACAGGCCCTGTATCACCGTTCCACAGAGGCACCTTCCTCTTCAGCGGGTTTCCCCGATGGCGATCCGCTCGATTGACGGGCTGCTTGTGCTTTTGATTGGTCACTGACGGTGCCGGAGGGCGCGGGGGATTGCGAACTAGCCAGTCGCTGATCGAGGGCCTTCAAAGCCATAGCTCTACGGTCGAGGTCTCAACGACGTATTCCACGATTGTGCGATTCGATTTCTCGTACCTTCTCCTCTCTGCCTCTGCCCGCGCGCCTCCAGGTACTGGTGCATATCCTCCAGACTCCAGATCCGCTTCGGCGGACGGGATAAGATGGAATCGAGTCGCCAGCCCGTGGGCCGTGTTGGAGAGTAAAGTAATGGGAGTACTAAGGTATATCAGACAGGAATGACGCTGTAGTATAGGGAAGGACCCACTGAATAAATGGAGGGAACCAGTGGACGAAAGCAAAGGTCTCGCTATGGTCGCCATATGTAGGACCTCCGCCGACCACATCCACGACGTTCTTCTTGTAGAATCGCAGCCAAACCCACGCAACGAGCCACCCAAACTGGATGAGGATATACGGGCATTGCAAACCAATAAAGCATAGCACTGTCGACACGGTAACATAAGCCATAGGCAACCTCTGTGGACCCTGTCTTAGCCATATTAGGTTCCGGGCTGAGCAAGAATGCAGACCTTGACTCTTGCTTTGATAAACCCTAACACCTGCACTTGGTGTTCTGGGATGACCTGAGTGAATGCTACTAGGACCGCCGTCTGCAGTGCCATCTGGCCGTGGTACTGCATTCCATACCTTTATCCGCCTGATTAAAACGGGGGCATACTCCTCATGGTAAGACTCACAGGAAGAGGTCAGCATTTCTCGTAACGGCGAATTCTATCCAATTGAAGGCAAACGCGATAACGTTGGAAACCGCTATGTTTACGACGATGAACTTGGCAGTCTCAATCGCGCCCCATAGCCTTTCCATGTATCGTAGAGATGCAGGCACCACTAGCAGTGTTACGAGGAGCTGAAGCATGCGTGAGGTTCTCTCCAGACCAGTGAGAACACAATGCTAACCTCGATCACACTGGTCTCTACTAAACCTGCAGTGACGAGTGTCCACGGATAGAAGAGACTGGACCCAGGTATCAGAGTAAGCCATGGCGCTGTGTAGTCATCGTTATTCCTCCAGGCTAGCCAGAAATACAGTCCTGAGCAAAAAACAGTAGCAGCGGTCCAAGCACGCGTAACAGGCGGGGTCGAAGTGATGTATTGCAACGGTGAGGACAAGACTGCCATTGCTGCTGAGTTCGGCAAGCGATGGATGCTTGGCTGCCGGCCGTCTAAGGGACCCTAAGCTGAGCCAGGAACCTCTATGAGTTCCGAGACCGACGAGCACAACGCGGGCATCGACACCGACCCAGGCGCGTTTTGGTCGGCGAAGTGTCTTACGTAAGAATGCAGTGCAGTCCGGTCATGCTCCCGCAACGCCGCGGAGTTCAGAAGCACCAATGTCGTGACCGTGTCACAGATCTCCTTCGTCTCCATACCGCAAGGACAACGTCGCGATGTCGGATTATGACTTCCGCCCGGGCGGGTCGCTCAAACTCAAGGGTGGCGTTGCCGAGGGCGGTGTTGTCAAGAAGTGAGTGTCGCCGCTGTTTCTCCAGACCTGCCTCACTCATCCGTCAGGAAGAAAAAGTCCTCGAAATCCAAGTCTAAGGTTGACCAGGAGCGGGAGTTAGAGCGACTTCGGGAGGCGCGTCTCAAAGAGGAAGTGGTGAAGAGCAGCTCTCCAGCTGCTGGAAGCAGCCGGAATTCTCCTGCTATTGGGGGGAGTAGCGACCGGAAAACGGAGGCCGAGAGGAGGTTTGAGGAGACACAGAAGCGGAGGGTGCGTCTCCGGGTTCCTACCTGTTCATTTCAGCTGTCTAATTCTTATGACAACAGATGGCAGAGAAGGTTGCTCGTCTGGCTAACAAGACGCACAAGGATCGTGTCAGTGAGTTCAATTCCAAGTTGGAGGCTCTCAGCGAGCACCATGACATCCCCAAGGTACGTTCTCGCTTTGTTTTTGCTTCTCGGTTGCTCAGTTTGTCTTTGTGCAGGTCGGTCCTGGATAAGGCATGCTTATTTCAATGTCGCCTGGTCGCCTTGCCTGGCTAGGCGCACCAGGTCCTCCCGCGTGCGCTCCATGGACATTGTCGTGCAGATCGTCGGTTTGTGCTGGGTTTTGCATGCGTCTCTTGTATTCCGGTGTACACTAGCAACGTGCCTTGGCCCTTATATCTCGTAATATATATATGGTAAAGGACGTGACTGAATGTCGGGAGATGAATTTCCGCTTGCTTCTTTCTTTACACCACACATCTCCGGGTCGCGCTGCGACACTATGAGGTCTAAGACTACACCTCTTGACACAAACGCTGAGAAGAAAGGCCATGTCTGTCCACCCTCTAACGCTACGCACCCTGCAGACCGTTGGGAGAGTCTGTTTGTGTACTCCTTCATCTGCAAGTTTACCGACCTCCGGGGAAATGTTGAGGGTTTGCTAACACCAATGGAGTGAGTCGCTACTTGGTTTTTCTTGCCCCACCGCTGCTAACACGCCTCATATGGTTGAAGCTTTGAAGAGGCACTGATGCTGAAAGTGCCCAATGCTGTCATGACCGCGATACTGGCGCGTTTCGTACGGAACTTGCGGCCACAGACGCGTAATGTCGGGTAGGCGAGCCCCTCCTATGCCCTCCAACGTCATGTCAACGCTTACAAACGTCTTCCGTGCTTGTAGTATGGAACATATATCCAGCACGGTCGCCGCTATCCTGTCAGACTTCCTGAAGTCGTCGGAGAGGACAGTGTTTTGGAATGAAGAATTGAAAGCGAACGTGGACCCGTTCCAGGGGATAGAGGGGGGTTTCTTTGCTGCGGATTGGGACCTGAAAGTACGTCTTTGTACCTCTTGGCCACTACTATGCTGCTTACGTCTCTCATCCGCTCCTCTAGCTCAAAATCCTGCGACAGCTTGTGGAACTACAGCTGTGTCATTCAACAGAAATCAAGGGCTTGATTGATCGCGCGTGGGGAGTGGTTCACAACAAGCACAAGAAAAAGGAGATGCCCCCGGAACCACGACCTGATCCATCGGATCCCTATAGCCAGGAGAACCTGCAACTCCTCCCAATCGGTCAGGATGCTACGCGCAAGCGATACTGGGTGGCAGATGGTCCGTGCGCATCCCACTTTTCGTTCCATATCATATTTGCGTGTATTTGGACATATGCTGATATTTTCCTCGTTTTCCGTGTGGCGTCCGGCCCTTGGTCTCCGATGACCCACTTTTGATTCGCTTCAATTGCGATCTCCCCCGCGTTATGAATGTCCAGATTCCCCTCGTCTGTATCTCTCCACTAATCCGTGGAAGATTACCGCTACCTTTCAGAGCATCTCTTCCACGCGTGAAGAGTATGTCGGCATCATTGAAAGGCTAAAAGCGGAAGGACCCTCGGAGCCCAAAGAGGGCGAGAAAAGGTCCAAATTAGAAGTGGCTCATTTAGCACTGGTCAAGGCCTTGGAAGGTCGCCTCCCAGCAATAGATGCAGAACTGGCGGTGAGTGTGCTTTTTATGCGTCACTCGGCTGGGCAGACCGGGCTCGTTCGGCATTACTCGAGCCCTTGGTATTTACATGACCTCATCCCATCGAATGCTTCACTGTGATGGATACGACTGATTCTATCTTCCCTTACAGAGAATTGCCAAAGCACGACGGAAGATGGAACAAAAGCAAGTATTCTCAGAACAAGCAGAGATCAGGCAAACGCGACTTCGTCGAACTACGCGCAGACTTGATTATGCGCAGATGGACGCAGGCGCCAGTGATGTGAGTTGCCTGCCTCCTGCACCTACCTCAGCGATCTGACGCATTGCCTAGGATGATATGGACGAGTATAAAATGCAAGAGGATGAACTGGATGACGAAGAATATCAAGACAACACTGTAGAGGTGGAACGGTTTACGAACTCGCGATCCACTACGCCTAGCGGGACGAGTAGTCGTCGCATGTCTGAAGCACCGGAACGCCGGCGGTCTAGTCGGGCGGCCGCCGTAAACGGTAAACGGGGTTCAACAGACGACGTTTGGAGTCAGTGGCGGGGTGAACGGCGATCGAGTCGACTGGGAGCACCTTCCGGAACTCAGTTAGACGAGCCACCTTCCAAGAGGGCACGTACAGAGGACAGCACTGTCAGCGCGAACTCAACCGAGCCTGCGAATGGTTCTTCATCCAAGGCGGGAGGCGCTGCTTTGAAGCCAACAGAAGTGGCTGTGGATCATGTAGCGGGCAAAAAGAAGAGCAGGTTTTGGTTCTACGCTGTGGAACCCATTCCAGGTCAGGAACCGGAGTCGGCGCAGACGTCGAATGGCCATAGTCAGCCGGATACAGGTGCCAATGGAGACCACCCTGCCAATGGAGATCATCCTAACGGAGACCATCCTACCAACGGCGACAGTTCTGCGACGGATGTCAATAGCTACGAGAAGTCTGCAAATGGCACGAACGGGAATGGGAACGAAAGAGCATCGCAAGAAAGCCCTTCTCTACATTCAAGCGTGGAGGATACGTAACTTTCTCATTTATCCTGTGGACGTTTGGTTTGCATTTATTATCCTGCAGCGTTCATACCCTATAATTGCATCTAGTATCTGTCCCAAGCCGCATCCTTACACTCACTATCTTTGTTTTTCGAGACGTTTTGCCGTGTATTATAGTACAGGTAGGCCATGTATGTCGCATATTATTGTTCAGTCAATGCACCATTGAATACAATCACTCGAATTATTAAGCTAGTGCCCCCATCTCATCGAGCTGGTCGTACCCACATGTTGACCATATCACTTTCCAGGGCGATCTTTTGTCTTCTCAGTCGCCGTCCTCGCTGAGGACAGCTTCGGTGTGTAAGAGTGTGCCGGTATTTGCCGGTACACCCGTCAAGAGAAACCTGAATGATTGCCATCACCGCCACCCCTGCCTTCTGCCCCTCGCCCGACATTTATGCTCGCGAAGACTGCGAGGAATGCGCTCGCAAAGCCGCGACCGACGTTTAGATTTCGAGGTTGTCTCCACCTCAGCAAGAATGGCGACGTCAGCACTCGAAGGCGTGCTTCCACTGCCACAATCCCGGCCTCCGCGGATGATAGATCCCTCATCCCATTATTCGACCAACCCGAGGCAGGCACAAGCAGGGCTTCGACCAACTCGACGGGGCTTTTTGGGCACTCCTTCCTGACAAGTCCTGCCGCCTTCACTGCCCTTGCAAATTCTACTCTGCGTCGAGCTCACCTGCTTACGGAGAGGATTCTCCAGGCTCGACGGTCTCGTGAGGAATTGTCCAAGGTTGTCAAGAACTTGGACCGGCTCAGTGACCTGTTATGTGGGGTGATAGATTTGGCGGAGTTAGTGCGCAACGCTCATCCTAGCGCACAATGGGTAAAGACAGCGGATGAAGTTTATGAGACGCTATGTGAGTTCATGAATGTCCTGAACACTCATGTCGGACTGTACGAGGTGCGTGCTCCCGCAATGGACGCGTGTCTGGGTTCTCACTCTACGCCAGGTCCTGAATGCAGTCCTCTCCGACCGTGAAATTGTGAAGTCCCTTAGTCGGGAGGCCTACCAGACAGCCCTGATCTTCTGGCGAGATTTCGAGAAGTCGGGTATACGACTGCCACCAGAGCAACGCAACGAGTTTGTTTCGCTGTCATCCGAAATCATCGTTCTTGGGCGGCAGTTCCTCAACGAAGCCGCGGCCCCTCGACCTCCCGCTACTATAACGTCGTCCGAGCTGCGAGATTTGAAGGACAAGGGGATGGGGGTGAGGCTACAGCTTCAGGCTCGTTTCACTCAACGAGAATTACTCGTATATCCTGGATCATTGCAAGCCCAAATGATTATGCGGTCTGCTCCTTCAGAAGAGCCTCGACGAAAGCTCTATATTGCCTCGAACTCCAGCACTGCAGAGCAGATTGCGACACTGGAAAATATGCTGAAAGCCAGGGCCAGACTTGCGCGGCTGGTGGGTAAAGATAGCTACGCTCACATGACGCTGGCCGATAAAATGGCTAGATCACCGGGTGAGTACGGACATTACGACGAATCACGTCCTGGATCAAATACTAATCTGATATCTTTAGAGAATGTCCACCACTTCCTGGACGCTTTATTAGACCACACGAGTCCTCATGCTAGAGATGCATTGCTCGTGCTTAGCTTGAGGAAGCAGGCTCATCTTGGTCTACCGAGCCCGCCGACGATACAGGCTTGGGATCGTGATTACTACTGTCCCCCGGAGCCGCCTGCGCCTCCAGTTCCGTTACCACCTTTGACGCTAGGAACTGTCTTCATGGCGCTCTCTCGCCTGTTCAGACACCTGTATGGTATAACTTTGAGGCCAGCGGATGTCGAGCTTGGGGAAGCATGGAATACGGACGTTCGGAAACTGGAGGTTGTGGACGAGGAAACCGGCGTAATTGGCTGGATATATGCTGATCTCTTCGGGCGGCGAGGAAAGGCTAGCGGCGCAGCTCATTACACTGTGAGATGTTCACGGAGAGTAGACGATGACGATGAAAATGGCGACTTGGCGCTGCAGGGGCTCCAGCTCTCCGATGCCGAAAGGCAATCCTTGGAGTTGTCGAAAGCCTTCGAAGCCTTAGGCCGTCGACCTCTTCATGGGCATGATGGCATTTATCAACTCCCCGTGGTGGTTCTTCTCTGCGACTTTGCACGTCCTTCGGCTCAGAGAGGGGCAACCGTTCTTGAATGGCATGAAGTTCTAACCTTGTTCCATGAGATGGGACATGCTATGCACTGTCAGTCCTCCTGCACACCACGCCTTATCTCCGCAATACTGACTGTCGTCTGACAGCTATGATCGGCCGCACCGAATACCAGAACGTCTCCGGTACGCGGTGTGCGACGGATTTCGTCGAATTACCATCGATACTCATGGAGCACTTCCTCAATTCTCCCGCTGTTCTGGCATTATTTGACCCTAAGAGCAGATCGTCCAGCCTACAAATAGGCAATTATCACGAAGACGCTTGCCATCACATAGACACGCACTACCAAATACTCTTGGCGATACTGGATCAAGCTTATCATTCACCTGATGTCTTGCAGCCGGAGTTCGACTCGACATCAACCTTCTCGTATCTGCAAAAGGCACGCGGATTGATACCTTATGTGCCGGGAACCTCTTTCCAGACGCAATTCGGCCACCTCTTCGGATATGGCGCGACGTACTACTCTTATCTCTTTGACCGCGCGATTGCGTCGCGGGTTTGGCGGATCTTATTCTCTGACGACCCTTTGGACCGGGAGACAGGAGAAAGATACAAGCAAGAAGTCCTGCGATTTGGAGGGGGCAATGACCCTTGGACAATGGTTAGTACACTTCTTGAGGCCCCCGAACTTCGAACTGGTGATGCTGCGGCAATGCGGGAAGTCGGCCAATGGAAAATCGAGGACGAAGCAGGGATGTCCAGTCGGCATTGACAGATTCGGTCGGCGTAAATTGAACGTAACAGCAGGATGCAGTGTTGTCAAGGTCGAAGTCGGAGGTATGACGTCGTGTCACGTCAATTGAGTAATTACCGACTGACACGCAAAGGACGCCGACGCCGTTACAGTGCTTTGCATATGAAGCCGGAAAGTGCGTTTTGAAAAATGTTGTTTGTCTCTGTTTGTCCCGCCGACGCCAACCTATATGGGGTACTCGACGACGGCAAGTTGGGTGTGCCAGGCATTAGGGTTCCGTAAATTTGGGTCGTGAAAATCACACTTGTTGATTAGCAGTTGTAAATTAGCGTTAATTACATGCTAAAGTGATGGTCCCAGTTTTGAGCATATCAATTTTGGTAAATTTCATCCACTTAGTACATATATATATGTATCCTACATGCACACATAGCCCTGCCTTGTGGGTCCACCCACTGTACTAATCACATTTTGTGTGATCATGTTAGATTGCTGGAGGTACACGACCCTACAAACCACCGGGCTAATGGTCTCTTGGGATACTTGGTAGCTTTTCTGTAATTAACACGCAAATTAGGCCAAATTAGCATGCTAATTAGCGCTAATCAATGCCGACCGCGCCGGGGCTCCACCCCGGACCCCGTTGCTAATTAACAGTAAATTACACCTGCAAATCTGGCCTCCGGCCAGCGACCTGCAAATCAGCAGTGCCAATGAGGAGCCATCCCAAATTTACAGAACCCTACCAGGCATACCCTACAGGAACGATAACACATGAAAAACTCATAACATATGTAACCAACAACATTATAGCGTATATGAGCTTTGTTTATCCCAAAAAAGCTCTGAAAGAAGTCACAACTGTGGTCGGGCACAAAGCAAAAGCAAAGCAGCCTGCTGTGAATCGGCGATGGAAATACCCGTATAGGTTTATTTGGTCCAGCCAAATGATATTTTGGAAAAGGGTTCTCCGGCTTCTTTTGCAAACCACTGTACTGTCTGAGCCCTGTGGTGTGGCATGAGAAGGAAGTGTTCTTCGGCATCAGCATTGCCTTTTATGTACTGCTGGGTGGCTGTAGGAATCTTGACGAATATTCAGGTAACTGTTACTTATCGAAAGTCTGGTTAATAGCGGTCTTAACTATGAGGATCCAAAGGTAGCAAAATAAATTGGCCATTAAATGTGGTCCGGTATCAATAATGTAACGATGGTCTCACTTTTTCTTTTTTTTTGACAAGCATTGGCTCCCCGGCAACTGACAATTGGTACAGCCCCGGCTCGCCGCTATAGTGGGTGGTTCAGAACCACCCGGTCCGGGATTGCTTTAAAAATGCATTTACGCACCCCCAGCTTGCACTGGGGAGTGTGGGACTCGAGGAAGCACCAGGATGCTCCGTTGAATGGGAGGGCCGTGGCATCCTAATACCCACTAAAAACCCGTGGTTCCCCACCCAGTCAGGCGGGAGGGAGTCTTCGGCATCTAATGTCCCTCCCCATTTACGCATTACGCGGTGTAGGGCTTTTGTTGATCTTAGTAGTTTTGTGGCAACTACACAATCGATACTGATGCGTTGGTTGATGGCAGCGGTCCAGCGTTGGACTATGGCCTTGGTCGAGTGGTTCTGACCTTGGATGACCCTCTCACACCAGAGGACCCATATAAGATGGGTGGATTCGGAGACCAATATTTGTAGCAGCCTGGATGCACCCGGTAGCTGGCAGCGGCCAGTGTCCCGGTCATGGTTCTGGAGCATGTCTGCTCTGTTGTAGACGGCTAATTTGCCCGGTGCAATCAGTGCTCCGTAGTCTAGGTTTGGCCATGGGCCGTTCTTCATTGGCCAAAGGTCTCGGGCCAGGAGCCATATGATCCTACGGGCAGGTGTGTCACATTCAGTTAAGATGTGGTCCATGTTATCGTTAACAGCAGGGCAGGTTGGACAGGGAGCATGGTCCGCATAACCTGGGATGGACACCCAGTGCTCCCTGATACGGTATGCACCGTGGTAGATCTTATACGTGAATTGTCTTACTAACGGGCGAATGCTTTTGTTCCTGCAGGCTAGCCAGAGTTGCTGTTCCGTCTCGTCTGAGCTGAGTACCTCGTGCAGTGCTTCCAGCGCTTGTGAGACAGTTCATTGGGTTTGCGTCTGCGGCGGTGTTTCTGCCGTCTTCCTTGCACGGATCGCTCTGTAGGCCAGAGCCTGTGTCAGACACCACATTTTTGCCCCCACCGGGTCAAAGGTTGGTGGGACTGTCAGGACTAGTTGATCCGGCACGTCCTTCTTTGCCCCGCGTTTAGCTAGCTTATGAGCCTCATCATTGCCTGGGTTCTGGTGATGACCCTTGACCCAGGTGAACGATGTCGCCGCTGAGTGTATTCTGAGTTGGTAGGCGGCGGCTTTGAATAGGCATTGGTTGGAGATCCTGGTCCACCCGGTGTCTTCCCAGCAAGCGAGGTTCTTAGTGACGCCATTGATAACATATAAGGAGTCAGTCATGAAGCTAACGGGCATGAATGGAGGGACAGTTTGTAGGGCTACCACTATTGCGGCAATTTCTGCTGCCTGGTTAGATTGGTCAGGGCCTCCGAGTCTTAGGTGGCGGTTATATGGGCTCCCCGGCGCCACAAAGATCCTGCCTCGCGCGACGTCTCAGAAGCGCCTGGAGAATCTGCCGCCCCCCCGCGACACAGCATCAGAGCGGCCCCGAGGTTAGTGGCGAGGGGGGCAAAATCATCACTCGGGCATACACCGACAAGATGGTAGAGTGGATGGAGAGAATCCGGAAGGCATTTGAGAAGCACGTCATTCGGCATTCAATATCGTCTCTAAACGATCAAGGACAGCCGATTACGGGCTTGAAGCCCTACCTCGACATCTCCCTCGCGCTCACAATGTATGACTGGGAATTCC